CAATTTTTAACAGAAGAATCAAATGGGGGCAGTAATGTTCTCATAAGCTCCTTGTAGGGACCAAAAGAAAGGATCTGGAAAACTTCATATAGATATAGGAATGCATATAAAACTAAACATACTACTATACTACTATGAAGTAGCAAATCACATTGCTCCTTTGGAATTTGCTGTTTATATATGATGGCCTCCCCTTAAGTTCTAGATTTTCAGTTGCGCGGGAATTTGTTTTCTGATGCAGTTCTCTCTCCCAGGAACAGTGCTGGGACTTTTCTTTAAAATGTGATCACATTCTAGTTCTGATTTTCATGATTTCCTTGGTTCTGTCATGGTCACGATCAGAATTGCACTGTTCATTATATTGATTTGGAATTCAGATTGGTAGAGCAGGCTTAGTCTCCCTGGCAGTCATTAGCATGGTCCATCCTTGGGGCTTAGTACTGCAATGACAATACTGTGTGGCTGGGAGGTGATCATGCCAAGGACGGTCACAGTGAGGATGGTGAACTTCTTGCAGAGGAGTCTGAATTAATTTTTTTTCAAGAATGACCTGAAAGGATTGTAGATTTGCATTAGTAAAACAGCCCAGGTTTCCTGGATAATGAGCTAAACTTTATAAGAACGCTTCTCCCATGTTTCCTTCATATTAGAAAACCAAGAGCTTGGGAAGGCCAAGCTTCTAGTCAAAGGCACAGATGACCCCATGGCTGCTCTTCTTTGGTTTCTCCATTGCTGTAATTTCTACCTCTGTGATTGGGCATACTTATATCCACATATATACAAACATAAATATATACAATTTCCATATACATTTTTGTGTGTATAACATTTTGTGACTGAGCTTCTCCACCCCATACCTTCTTTAGCCTCCAGCTTACTATGGTTAGCATGATGCAGACAAGCACCCTGCCCTCAGAGATTGTGAGGTCCAGCAGGGGACATGTAGATAGAATTCAAAATGGTGACCCTGTGTGGAATGCCTTGATGGGAAGCATAGTATACCAAGAACAGGTGCATCCAACTTTTTTACACAGAACTTGGAACCTGGGGCATGTTAGCAGAGAGGTAGGAGGAAATAGAATTCCAGAAACTACTAGAAGTCATGATGTTTCAAGGCAGGGAAACTATTCAAGAAGTCACATCATGGCCGGGTAGGGCATTAATGGGGTAGATTTATAGAGTCTTTTAAAATTTTAATGAATTATTATCACTCTGTGTATGATACATTTGTATGAGGGGGTGTTGCATGTGCCATGGCACATGGGTGAAGGTCAGATCACACTGTTGTGGAGCTGATTCTCTCCAGCTTTTCTTTGGGTTTGAGCTTAGGTTACCAGGTTTGCTCAGTGAGCTCTCACACCCGCTGAGCCATCTTCTGGACAGACTTCCAGAGTTCTTCCATGGAAAGTGTCTCCTTGCTTCTCTAGCAGTGGAAGCTTTTGAAATGGTATAACTTTGTTTAATAATGCTGTAGGAATGTTAACTGTGATTCACACATTAGTATAAATTAAATTAGCAAGGCTCTGCGGTAACAAGGCTGTGGGATACTTGGAGGAGGTGGCCCAAGATGAAGGAATTTGGAGAAAATTTGAAATTACTAGGAAAGCTCCTGTGTGTGGAGGGCACAGAGCATCAGAGAGGAAGCGATCCTGGCAAAGACATGCTGTGGCCTTTGGAATTTTGCCTGGGGGCTTGGCAGAAGCCAGCATGACAACAAATATCATTCCTCCCAAGAATTCCTTCTGCCTGTGTGATATTACCAGGACAGATTGGAAGCTGGCAAACTTCAGTTTTTCCAATTCAACCAATATCCTCAGTCTAGCTCCTTCTGGCTTGTTTGGTTTTGGTCCAGTTGGAACACTGGAAAGAAGAAATGTGTGGAAATGAGAGGTGATGGTTTCTTCATGCTATGGACAATTTGTGATCGGTAGAGGTTTCATATAAGTAGAACCTCTGCAGCCCACCCATGTGTTCCTTGGTCATATCCATCCATCCTTCTTTTCATCCATGTGTTCTTGCTTCCTTTAATCTATCTGTATGTCTGTTCATCTGTTGATTCACCCAACTTCCTTCCCTTTAACCGATAGAGAGTGCATATCATGGATTAGGCCCTAGGATTCAGATTACAGTGTCCTATACAGACATGATCTTTGCTTATATGTGGAGAGCCTAGCCTAGTACCTGACATATCGTAGTTGTACCATATCAAAGGTCAATGTTATTTTTTATAAACATTACATGTCAGAGATGTTTATACTTGTGTTTGTTTCAGTGACAAAAGGAATAATTGTGGTGAAATGATGACATGAAAAATTTATCCCTTAAGAGTTATTACCTCTGCATCGGGGCCAGGATGAGAGGGATTCAGCAGGGTACTCAGGGTGTTTGGTTTAAGGAGGTGCTCATTTTTTTAGGGTCCTCCTGGAGTAACAGCCAGGATTAAAATAAATCCCTTATGAAAATTAAGAGTGAACAGGCATCATGGGCATCTCTTGGGCCCCTGCTAAGCAGGCTGTGTCTTCCTCCACTT